GATTCAATTCTATTCAACAAGCATAAACCTTCTCATAATCTTCCTTTTCAAAGTTTCTGAGGCAAATCCATGCGTAATATTTGATCATTGTATCAGGCAATAATTCACTCTCTTGCGCACCATTGTGACACCTGAATGCCTTACTTATCTAATTCCACACTTATATCTGGTTTAGTAAAGAAAGCAAAGGAGACTTAGCAACTGGAAATGCAGTGGTCACATTTTGCCCTCTCAGCTAGTGATTTGACTCTAAGTGTGAGTATTCACAACCAACTTAAATTCACTATATATCTAGTTCGATTCAAAGGCAGGACCTGGCTCCAGGCAACAATATAACTGATATGATAGATATAATCAACAAAATGTGACTCACGTGAAAAATTCAACCAGCTAATATTGAGAAGGGTCATCAGGGTAGTTGCTGTCTTTTCAGTAAATAACTAAATCACAGTTGTTAGGTCAATCTTGTAGTTTGTCTTCTAGTTTGAGATTCTCCTTCCCAAAGGGGAGGCAGGGGGAGAATCCAAGATCATCTCTCTGAGTTGGCAATCCCTTGGCCAAAAATTCCTTTTTCTCCATAACTGAGAGAAACAGTTAAGAGTGTTTTCTTTCCCTGAGACACTGTAGAGTACATGAATTAATCAGATTTTTAAGTGCCAATAGCCTCTGTGGCTATCATCAGTGGCCTTGATTGTGCTAATGCAGGAGGTGCTTGGAAGTGTGGGTGTGGAGCACGTATGCCTGATTGTGTAATCCTGGCGCATGGGTGTGCTTGCATACGTAATTGTGCACACCTGACTCCAGGGGTCAGAGAGACAAGGACAGTGGCACTGAGAGACAGAGATGTCTTCGAGAGGATGAGTGACTACAGAGAGGCAGTAACACCAGAGAGAGCCCAGAGAAAAGCATAAAAATTTGCCACCACAGACACTCCCAGGAAAATCCATCCTCAGCATCACTGCACATTTTATGTCCTCCCCATCTGCCACAGCTGCCCCTTTGCTTTGCATTTGTTTCTTATTTATTATCAGATTTTACTCCTTGGATGTGTCTCCATATTGCTCACCTCAAGGGCATATAGCAATAATAATTCTGTCAGTTTCCCCTTCTGTCCATTCCCAGAAACATGAAAATCCAAGTAGTGATGGGACACTCTACTTCTAGGTAACAGGGTAGCTTTACAATTATTCCAAGTTTATTCACTTATAGGAGGAATGTAAGGGATTCAAATAAGAGATGGGGGTGGAGTAATTAAAGTAAAAATCAAAATCAACAGGCAACTATAAACCAGAGACATTCTGCACGGGGGAGGAGGGAGCTGGATCAAAACAGGAGTGGGAAGAGCACAAGGGTCTATGGTGAGGGTGCACGGTTGAATTGGTGGTGGGAATTTCACAGGGACTATACCTGAGCTGATAAAGTATACATCGTATAAAAATGAAAAATGATTTAAAAAATATATAAGAGCTAATGAAAAGTAAAAAGGTAGGTAGGTAGGTAGGTAGGTAGATAGATAGATAGATAGATAGATAGATAGATAGATAGATAGATAGTATTCCTAGTTTAAACACTGTGGTGTGTCACTGTTGAGTCCATTGTTTTCATGTGAGTTAAATTCAGAGGAAATGAAATTGTTTCCTAAGTATAAATGTATTCCTCTTCTGAAATATGCTACTCTAGTCCTGAACCTTATAAAATTGAAACTGGTAAAATAAAATTTCTTTTGAAAAGAGAGCTGTGTGATTACATCATGAATCTCTTTATCCCTAATAACTTCCCTAAAGGTTTTCTTACTTTAGATGACCCAGCCAAGTCAGTTCTTTCTGTCCTTATTATGACCAGTTTGATTTCAAGATAAGTTAATTGCCCAGTGTAAAGCAACCAACCCATTCCGGGCAGGTTTATGAACGGTTCTAGCAGCCACATGCTCTTCGCCGTGGTTTGTAGTCGCCGCTCTCCTCCGTACACTCCACTCCTCCACCCTTGACACCGCACTACCACCACCCCGCACTCTGCTGCACCACCCTTATAAATCAGTCTCTTAGCTCAGGTGGACCCACTTCAGGTGCCCGCCCTCAGGCATGCCCCCAGGATCACAGGGCTCCCTCATCTATCCTGATGGCGGAAGGGCAGAAAAACCTGATACCTTTTACCTTACCCTACACCCATTCCAGTTCTTTAATTAGTACTGTACAGATGATATGGAATTTGGTAAGTCCATGTGACATTATGTCTCCAGTGTAAATTTGTACATAGTCACCAGTGAAATGTGTACTTTCTTTTGGTAAAATATTACCTAGGGGACTACATTTTTTCACATTTGTAGTGAGGCAACCAGGTGCAGGGCAGGCAGGGGAGCAGGGCAGACAGTTGGCTGGCAGCCTCCCAGCCCCCAGCAAATCCTTACTCTCTCTGGACTCTCTGGCGTTCTCTCCTGGTTTCTCAACCGCTTTCCACCACACCATCCTCTGCAGTACTGTCCTCTGTGACGCTGCCCTTACAGCCTCTCTCTCGGCTCCAGTGTGCCCACTCCAGGTGTCCACCATCAGACGTGCACCCAGAGCCATCACTCCCAAATGCCTTCCGATTCAAGGCCACAGGGGATAGCCACAGAGGCCAAGGGCACAAAAGCCTGACCATCACTTACCCTACACATATGTTTTTCTAAATCTTTATCCCAGTCCTCAGTCATTGCCATTGCTGAGCCATTGCTCAGTCAAACTCTGACATGTGTTTCTGATATTCTTTTTTTTTTGTTTGTTTGTTTTGTTTTTATTTATTTATTTATTATATTTGTTTGTTTTGTTTATACATGCACTGGGTACAGTCAGAAGCGCGGGAGGGTGAGAGAATTCACCAGAGCCAGAGCGGGGAGCAGAGCAGGCAGAAGGGCTGAAGTACACTGCTGAGGGGAGCAGCGGGTGGCAGGAGAGGTCTGCGCACCATGTGGGATCCTCCTCCGGTGGCCGGGGAGCAGCCGGGGATCGAACCGGCGCCGCAGAGGCCGTGGGCAGCTTCGCAACACAGCGCTCAACTGCTGCGCCACCGGGGAGGCCCCGTGTTTCTGATATTCTATTCAGAATTTAGTTGAAGTCACCTGGGGCCACTGGTGAGAGTCTATATTATCTACCTGCCATTCTTTGCCCATGATAAATCTTACCTAAAATAATCTGTGGAATTTCATTTCCTATTAGCATTCTGGATATTATATTACCATATTAGAAGTATCAATAAAGGATTGTCACTGTTCCACTCAGTGTTTACAGTTTGAATAACATTGTTCCTATTTATTTCACATAGCTACATTCAAGAAATGAATCAGTGCATAAGCCTTTGCATTCCAAAACTTTGAGGAGGTAACCAGATTTTATCTAGTGATCATTGATATAAACAATTTCAACTCTCCTACAGAATTTCCACAAGTTTCCATAATTTAAATCTCCTTAAAGTCTCAGTTATCCAATCATGTAGATTCTTTCTGCACTAACTTCAAGGTCATTGACCACAGCCTGAGTATGTAAATATATAAGCACTATTCCAGATGAGAATCCAAATTTTCTTGCACTGTAAGATATACTGCGTTTGTTTCTGCTTGTTGGGTGAACTGAAACTTGCTTTCTCCAATAAGGGTTTTACCATCAGCAATGTGAAAGAGATTAGGCTTTCAACAAGAAGCATGTCCCTCAATTACAGGACTTCTAGCAGTAAACCAGGACTTCAGTAGAATGAGACTTTAGTAGGATGAGACTTACAAGTTAAGACTTCAGCAATAGAAACTGATAATTCCTCTGGTGGTCTCATCCTGTGCCCCAAAGGCAGGTCCACAACCTCCTCATAGAAACAAGTATTTTCTCCAAATCACCTCCAATTACTATTTCATTTCCATGCTATCACTATTGGAGTTGATTCATCACTATTGGAATATCTCTCTGACATTGCCCACAATATGACAGGTATTTTGGATCTCAGATTTAATTGATGTCCTTCAATGAGACCGATCTCTTATATCTCAGTTTCAGGGTAATAGCCGTCTCTTGGAATGAGTTTAGCTATTGCCATCAAGTAATTTTCAAGTTCAAATACCCAGTAGTCACTGAGTAGGAGCAATTATTAAATTTTGCTAGGGAATTTAGTCTGCAAGTGTCTACATAATGATACTTCCAAAATAACTCCTACATCAGCATTACATGGATTGATTTTACTACATGAGCTAAAGCTTTTCCATTATAAATCTCTCAGTCTCTTTTGTTCCAGATTCTATTCAAACTCACATTTCTTTTTGGTCATTTGATATATAAAGGTTTAGGACATCTTGGATGCAACATACAAACCCTCTAAAATACAAATATCCTTACAAGTCACTCAACCTCTTTCTAAATAGTAAGGCCTGGAAAACATATTGTATGTGTGTACAAATAAAATCCAATATTTGGTACAGTTTCATGCAAAGTGTTCAAGGATCTCAGTCTGTTTTCCCTTAAAATTGAATTGAATTAGTTTCCATAATTCTCATTTTTGATTTCTGGATCCCTTCTCTTATAGAGAACCTATCATGATAACATAATTGTAATGATGAAAAAACTTACTTTTGATAATGAAAAATATAAATTTTATCTTACTAAGCCATGACAGTAGACTAGAGAATATATAAGTACCTTTGAAGGAGAATATGAAGTTACATTGTTGTTCACATGAGAAAGTAACTTAAACTTGACTTTCTTTTGACACTGGAATGGAAAACAAAACTTAAGAAGGAAATTGTATAACATATGTTGTGTTGTGTGTCTGTGTGGGTGGGGGAGTTGTATGTATATATGTATGTATAATATATATACAGTATGTATATATTCACTGTATAAAATAGACATACATTCATTATTGCTGCTAATTCTTCACTCCTTTATGTAATCGCACTTAAGAAGGTTTTGTCAAGCAATTGAACTACTAAAGTGGGATATTGAATATGTTAAATTTCAAGATAGAGTTTAAATTTTTGAATAGTTTAATTCATTACATTTTTAAATGCAACCAAAATTTTTCAAAGTTCCTTTAAACATAAAGGTAATACTATGAAAGCTAAGCATACACATACTCTATGACACAACAACTCAGTTCTAGATATATACCCAACAGAAATGTTTCCATATTTCCCCAAAAGGCATGTTCCAGAATATTTAGTGCAGTGCCATTGATTAAAGCTCCCAAATAGAAACTATCTAAATGTCCATCAATAAGAAAAATGAGAATAAGTAATCTTTATTTCAATAATATAAATCAGCAAATGCATTACCAAATGAAAGTAAAATCCAAAAGAACAAATAGTACCATATTTGATATATAAGGGATATATAATGATATTAATGGTTAATGATTAATGATATATAAGGGATAAGAACAGTCAAGAATAATCTATGTAATCAGATATCAATATATTGGATTTCCTAAACAATAACTAGACTGCGGCATAAAGAAGACTTCAGGATGCTGATGATGTTGTTTCTTGTTTGAGTTCTACTTCTAGCTTGTTCAATTTGTCAAAATGTATTGACCCATATACATATTGACAATCTATGTTTTATTTATACACTGCACTTTAACAAAAATCTTTTAAAATTTTATTGTTAACTATTTTAGGTTAGTAATTACTTAGGTTAGTAAATATTTTAGATTAGTAACTATTTTAATTTTCTTTATCAAACTTCATAATATAAATACAGAATTAATTTTTTAAAAATCTTCCCAATCTATAAGGTACATACCGTTGTCTCTCCATCTCAGTCATATCAACAATGGACCTGACACTGATTAATTCCCTTCTCTTAATAATAAATCACTCTCCCTGGATAGGTATAATCCATGATAAGCTGATCATATTTCCTTTTACTTTTGGATAAAGTGATTGCTACTGGAGGAAGACATATAACCTCAAGTTAGATCCACTGTAGTCTTATTTTGAGAATGTAGCTGTATGTGTTGTACACAGGTTGACAACAAACAATACAGGTAATGCTAAATTCTGAACCCATACATATAAAAGGCATGTGCCTCTCCCTAGCACAGACCATGCTACAGTCAAGAGGGAATAGTAGGAACAGCCACTAGCCACGTGGCTGATACTTTCTTCAAATTTCTACAAATTCACAAGGCAAATCCTCTAAGTAGTCATCTGCAGCCCACAGCATCTCTCTCAACACAGAGAGGATCAGAACATCTCTTACAGAGTCCAGCTCCCACGTTGAGGAATAATTACTAACCACCAAGATGTCAGAAAGAGCAAATCCAAGTACTCTGTGGACTGCTTGTACCTGGAATGCAAAAATCAAAACTCAGAAATATCAAAATAGACAAAAATATTATTTTATGTTAATTTAAGTTATGGAACCAATAGCAAATAGTAGGGGCTTGGCAATGTTTTTCTGGTTGGATAAAATGGGGCTAAGAGGGCCTCCCCAGTGGTGCAGTGGTTGAGTGCTGGGCTGCAAAGCTGCCCACAGATTCTGCAGCACCAGTTCCATCCCCCGCCACCGGCGAGGGTCCCACATGGCGTGCAGACCTCTCCTGCCATCTGCTGCTCCCCTCAGCAGTGTATTTCGTCAGTCTGCCTGTTTTGTTTACCGCTCTGGCTCTGAATTCTCTCACCCTCCCACGCTTCTGACTGTACCCAGTGCTTGTATAAATAAATAAATAAATCTTTTTAAAAAATTAAAAAATAAAATGGGGCTAAGATCTGGTCCCATAAAGTGCTCTCTTAAAATAATTCAAAAGTCAGGTCTCCCCGGTGGCGCAGCAGTTGAGCGCTGGGTTGTGAAGCTGCCCGCAGCCTCTGCAGCGACGGTTTGATCCCCGGCTGCTCCCTGGCCACCAGGAGGAGGGTCCCACATGGCGCGCAGACCTCTCCTGCCGCCCGCTGCTCCCCTCAGCAGTGTACTTCAGTCCTTCTGCCTGCTCTGCTCCCTGCTCTGGTTCTGGTGAATTCTCTCACCCTCCCGCGCTTCTGACTGTACCCAGTGCTTGTATAAATAAATAAATCTTTTTAAAAAAAAAAGATTTATTAAAAAAAATAATTCAAAAAGTCAACCTTGAATATAATTGGTTAATTTCACTAAAAATGTATGTGGAAAGCAAAAGGGTAAGGGGCCCTAATGAACTAAAGTGGAGGACTATGACAGTTTTGGTGGTGGGTATAGTGTGGCAATATACACCTGATAAGGTATGGACCTATACCTCTGAATCATATATGGTGTTACAAACAAATGTTACCTTAATGTGTATGTGTGTGTGTGTGTGTGTATATATATATATATATATATATATATATATATATATATATATATATATCAATAAAGAACAAACATCAATTAAATGCAAAAGGTAACTAATAGTTCTATATAGCCACCTTGAAGTTGAAGTATTTATCTGCATGTACAACAGAGCCCATAATTTCTGTTTTCTTTAAAAAAAATATATTCTCAGAATAAATCTATTTTACTTGACTAGTTTAATGCTGATGCTTAGTTTTTTAAAAAGACTTATTTCTTTTTATACAAGAACCGGGGTACAGGCCAGATGCTCAGGAGGGTGAGAGGATTCACCAGAGACAGAGTGGGGAACAGAACAAGCAGACTGACAAAATACACTGCTGAGGGGAGCAGCAGGAGAGGTCTGCTCTGCTCCCCGCTCTGGCTCTGGTGAATTCTCTCAGCCTCCCGTGCTTCTCACTGTACCCAGTGCCTGTATAAATAAATAAATAAAAATCTTAAAAAAAAAAAGAAAAAGAAACTATCACACTGGATTATTCATTAAAGGTAATCGATAAATATTTGTTGAATTGAACATATGGAATTAAATTGCAATAAACAATTATCTTTGTCAGTATAAAAATAAACATATCTTGAATTTTTTTAATTTGGACTATAAATCTGAATTATTCAACCATTTTATTTTTTCTTAAACTCAGTACATGTATATTTCTATTTTTATACACAGTAATATATTATGATTATAGTGACATACTCCAGAAAATATGTTTACAAAGGACATCATTCATTACCTTAGATTTCACAGGCACACATTTCTGTATGTCTACAAGGTCATTCTCTGTAATCAGATCCAAGTTATCCACATTAGTGAGCAAAGCCAAATGTACCACACCTGTGCCAAGCAGATACATATTGTTTTAGCATTAAGAACAGCATCAGGATAGAACAGGGACCTTTCTTCAGTAAAGACTGCTTGAAACCGGCAGAAGGCTCCCAGAGGAGCCAGAGGTGAGCTAGGAAGTTCGCCCACGCCAGGCCCCTTCTGACCAGCAGTCCAAGCCCAGAGCCTGGCTGGGGCAGACCGGGCGCGCAGAAGAGTGTGCCTGAGACTGAGAGCGCGTCCTGCATTGCCATTTTAGAATGGCACGCAGGGAGTGTGTCCTGCATCGCCATTTTAGAACAGGGACATTTCTTCAGTAAAGACTGCCTAAAACCAGCAGAAGGCTCCCTGAGGAGCCACAGGTGAGCTGGGAAGTTCACCCACTCCAGGCCCCTTCTGGCCTGCAGTCCCAGCCCAGAGGGGGAGTGGGAACCCACCGCCGGGGCAGACTGGGAGTGCAGGGAGTAAGTCCCGCATCGCCATTTTAGAACAGGGACATTTCTTCAATAAAGACTACCTGAAACCAGCAGAAGGCTCCCTGAGGAGCCACAGGTGGGCTGGGAAGTTTGCCCATGCCAGACCCCTTCTGGCCTGCAGTCCCAGCCTAGAGGGGGAGCAGGAACCCACCGCCGGGGCAGACCAGGCACGCAGGAGAGCATGTCTCAGCATCGGCATTTTAGAACAGGGACCTTTCATCAGTAAAGACTGCTTGAAACCAACAGATGGCTCCCGGAGAAGGCAGAGGGGAGCAGAGAATTTCACCCAAGATGCCGGCCAGTCCCAGCAACACAGTGTCCCATTAGAAAACAGACAGTAGGGAGTAGAAGAACCACACGCAACCTAGCAACTCCTCAGGAATAAAGCACACCACAAAAAGAAAACCACCCCCCAGATTTCAACGACAGTAACTTGGAAGAACTTCTGAGCCTACCAGAAAGAGAATTTAAAATTGTCATGATTAAAAAAATAACAGAAGTCATAAAGGATAACAATGATAAGGGGAAAATAATCAATGATCAGAAGAATTAAATTGAGTCCCTAAAGAGGGAAGTAAAAGAAATGCAGGAGATCAAAGAATTAATGGAGGCACTAAAGAACTCTGGGAAAAGCAATGAAAGCAGAATAGATGAAATGGAAGAACGAATAAGTACTCTTGAAGACACAGAAATAAAAAGAACCAAAACAGAAAAGGAAAGTGAAGTACGAAGGAAAAAGACTGAAGAAAGACTTCGAGAACTATCTGACTCCATGAGGAAAGGAAATATAAGAGTTATAGGAATACCAGAAGGAGAGGAGAGAGATGTAGGAACAGAGAAAATATTCAAGGAGATAATTGAAGAGAACTTCCCAAACGTGAAGAAGGAGCTGAAAATTGATATACAAGAAGCCATAAGAACACCAAACTTCCACAACAAAGGGAAAAATACAGCAAGACACATAATAGTAAAGCTCCCAAGAATCCAGGACAAGGAAAAAATAATGAAGCTGACAAGAGGGAAGAAACAGATAACATTCAAAGGAAAACCAATCAGGCTGACATCAGACTTCTCCGAAGAAACAATACGGGCAAGGAGAGAGTGGAGGGACATAGTCAACAGACTCCAAGAAAACAGATGCCAACCAAGAATACTCTATCCCGCAAAGCTCTCCTTCCTCTATGAAGAAAGAATAAGGACCTTCCCAGACAAACAGAAACTCTGGAATTTCATTACAACTAAACCCCCACTCCAAAAAATACTACCAGGAGTCCTAAAGCCTGAACCTCAGAGGGACGAATAACAATGAAAGAAGGCCAAAAAAAAGAGTTATTAAAAGAATAAATAAATAAAATCAAAGGAAAGACAAACACAATGGCAAATACAGATGCTAACATATCAATATTAACTCTAAATGTAAATGGACTAAACTCTTCAATAAAAAGACACAGAGTCGCAGGCTGGATTAAGAAACAAAACCCAACCTTTTGCTGTCTCCAGGAAACACATTTAGCTACATAAGATAAAAATAGACTCAAAGTTAAAGGATAGAAAACAATCCTGTAAGCAAGTGGACCAAAAAAGAAAGCAGGAACAGCTATACATATATCAGATAAAAAAGACTTCAAACTCAAAAAGATAAAAAGAGACCCCAATGGTCACTACATTATGATCAAAGAGACAATACTTCAACAAGAAATAACACTCATTAACATATATTGACCAAACGAAGAAGCACCAAAATATATCAGACAAGCTGAAAGCATTTCCATTAAGATCTGGAACAAGACAAAGATGTCCACTCTCACCACTGCTTTTCAATATAATACTGGAAGTCCTAGCCAGAGCAATAAGACAAGAGAAAGACATACAAGGAATCCAAATAAGAAAAGAAGAAGTCAAACTATCACTATTTACAGATGATATGATAATATACATAAAGAACCCCAAAAACTCCACAGAAAAACTAATTTAATTCATCAATCAGTTCAGTAAAGTGGCAGGATACAAAATCAACATGCAAAAGTCAGTAGCCTTCCTATACACAAACAATAAATCTGAAGAAGGAGAAATCAAAAAAAAAATCCCTTTTATTATCAAAACAAAAAAAATCAAATACTTGGGAATAAATCTAACAAAAGAGGTAAAGGACCTATACAAAGAAAACTATAAAACACTGTTAAAAGAAATAGAAGAAGACACAAAGAAATGGAAAGACATCCCCTGCTCATGGATTGGAAGAATAAACATTATTAAAATGGCCATCCTCCCAAAAGCAATATACAGATTCAATGCTATTCCAATCAAAATCTCAATGTCATTCTTCAAAGAAATAGAACAATTATTGATGAAATTCATATGGAATCACCAAAAACCCCAAATAGCCAAAGCTCTCCTGAAAAAAAAAAGAAGGGAATGGAGGCATCACACGCCCAGACTTCAAACTATACTACAAAGCCATAATCATCAAAACTGCATGGTATTGGAACAAGAACAGACACACAGACCAAAGGAATCGAATAGAAAATCCAGAAATAAACCCACAGATTATGGTCAACTAATCTTTGACAAAGGAGCAAAGACTATGCATTGGAGCAAAGAAAGTTTGTTCAATGAATGGTGCTGGGAAAACTGGGTCGCTACATGCAAAAGTATGAAGCTTGACCACTACCTCACACCATACACAAAAATCAACTCAAAATGGATTAAAGAACTAGACATAAGACCTGAAACCATAAAATACATAAAAGGAAATATAGGCGAAACACTACATGATATTCACATCAAAGACATCTTTACAGACACATCACCCAAAGCAGTGATAGTGAAGGCAAAGATAAACAGCTGGGACTACATCAAATTAAAGAGCTTCTGCACAGCAAAAGAGACAATAACAAAAACAAAGAGAAACCCCACCAACTGGGAGAACATTTTTGCACCCAACACTAATGATAAAGGACTGATCACAAAAATCTACAAAGAGCTGATGAGACTCAACAACAACAAAGAAAATAATCCTGTCAAAAAATGGGCAGAAGAGCTAAAAAGAAACTTCTCTGAGGAGGAAATGCAAATGGCCAACAGGCATATGAAAAAATGTTCAACATCACTTGTAATCAGGGAAACGCAAATCCAAACTACAATGAGATACCATCTTACACCAGTGAGAATGGCACATATTAAAAAAACTAGCAACAACAAATGTTGGCGAGGATGTGGAGAAAAAGGAACTCTCCTGCACTGTTGGTGGGAATGCAAACTGGTCCAACCACTATGGAGAGCTGTGTGGAGATTTCTGGACCTACTAAACATAGAGCTTCCATATGATCCAGCAATTCCACTCCTAGGTATTTACCCAAAGGACACAGAAACATCAATTCCAAAGAGCACCTGCACCCCTATGTTTATAGCAGCACTGTTTACAATAGCTAAGCTTTGGAAACAACCCAAATGCCCAAAAATAGATGACTGGATCAAGAAGATGTGGTACATATACACCATGGAATATTACTCAACATTCAAAAAAGATAAACACATGCAATTTGCAGCAACATGGATGGCGCTGGAAGGGATCATGCTCAGCGAAATAAGCCAGAAAGAAAAAGAAAAACACCGGATGGTCTCACTCATAGCAGGAATCTAGAAAACTTAAATAAGGGACCAGGAAAATGAATAACTATAAGAAAGTGAAAATCAAATTCAACAAAAAACTATGAACCAGAGACACTCTATGGGAGGTAGGGGGGTGGGGAGGGAGGGATTGGGGTCAAAATAAGGGATTGCAATTGTATAGGGAATATAAAAATAAAATTTATTTAAAAAAAAAAAAGAACAGCATCAGTATTTTTCAGTGAATCAGCTATCAATTATACAACACACTTTTGGGAAGACTCCCACAACCCTATGAAAAAACATCCCCTTCAATTCTTCATGAGTACTTAGAGTTCCTCTGTCATAGAAAGTCTCCTTTATTGCTTTCCATGATAAGAAAGGAAACTTCAAATGAAGTTAGTTTATTTACCTTTGAAAGAGGTAACTAAAATTTATACTATAATACTGCTGATTGAGCTCATATCCTAGACAAACAGTTGTGTTTTTTTTTTTTTTTTAAGATTTATTTATTGGGCCTCCCCTAGTGGCGCAGGCAGTTGAGCCCGGCGCTATGAAGTTGTCCGCAGCTACTGCAGTGCGGTTCTATCCCAGCTGGCCAGCGAGGGTCCCACCTGGCATGGCAGACCTCTCCTCTCGAGCCCACTGCTCCCCTCAGCAGTGTATTTCATCAGTCTGCCTGTTCTGTTCCCCGCTCTGTCTCTGGTGAATCCTCTCACCCTCCCATGCATCTGGCCTGTACCCCGGTTGTTATATAAATAAATAAATAAGTCTTAAAAAAAAAGATTTATTTATTTATGCATACAAGAACCGGGGTACAGGCCAGAGGTGCAGGGTAGGGGGTGAGAGGCTTCACCAGAGACAGAGCAGGGAACAGGCAGACTGACTGAAGTACATGGCTGAGGGGAGCAGTGGGCAAGACAGGAGAGGTCTGCTGCACCATGTGGGTAGTTTCCTGGCCAGCTGGGGATCGAACTCATGCTGCAGTGGCTTCAGATACCTTCACAATGCTGTGCTTAACCCGCTGCACCACCAGGGAGGCCCCAAAGAGTTGTGTCTTTATGTGGACCAGAGAAAACCACCAAAGTACTCTAATAAATAAGATTGGGAAGAAAACACCTCAAAAAAAAAAAAAAATGACATATACTATGTCAAAGCATCACAATAAAATGTTCCTGAGGCACAATATTAGCCCTCCCTCAAACCCACTCAAGCAAGATCTGAAATTTCAGTGAGCAAAAAAAAATCAACCACTCCCTTTTTTTTATGGTTCAGTTTATAAATTTTATTTTATTTTATTTTAATATTTTATTTTATATAATTCTTACATCATTTTTCATTTTTGCACAATGTATGCATTTTCATTTTGGTTATATTCCCCATACAATTGCATCCCCCCCTTATTTTGAACCTAGTCCTTTCTCTCCCCGCCTCTCCCCCCCACCATAGTGTGTCTCTGGTTTATAGTTGTTTGTTGATTTTGATTTTTACTTTGTATTAATTAGTCTTTTTCCTGGCAACCACTCTCTTTTTCTAGCTGAATCAGACTTGAGATAAACTGGCTCTTTCCCAAACAGAATGGAAAATCATGTCAAGAGAAGTCACTGTGGGTCTATCTTTTTCGGCCCTTATGTTACCTCTCCCTACCTTACGTCTTACTTTCCTATCTTTTTTTTCTTACCGAAATATTCTTTTTTGCTTTCTAATCCTATAATGCCCATGGGGAAATCTAGGACTCTACGTAAATAAAAGCACGATGGGAGGCAGTGGTAGCAAGTAATTAGTACTGTACTGAACTCTTTGTTTATAATAATTTGTTCAATCCCTATAATAAATCTGAGGTAGATGCTATTATCATACTAATTTTATAGATTAGGAAACACAGTGAGTTTAAGTAACTTGCATAAGTCAAGCAGCGAAAGTGAGTGCTCAACTTGATTGAATCACATTGATAGGCCATGGAAAATTCACATGTACAAGTTCTGAAATTCTTCATGCTGTCCAGAAACCATTCTGCAATGCAGTCTAATCTTGTATCCTTAGCACAAAGGTAGAATGAGACTCACCATACTTTATCATGTCACTTCGAATTTGTTTAATCTTTGCTGTCATCTCATGAGACAGGTGTTCAACAGACTTGGCATCTAACACAAATGCCACACAGTGGATTCTGTCCTTCAATGAAGGGTTGTTAATATAGTCACCATGACCTGGTGCAATTGGTTTCGTGGGAATAAACTGTAGGGTAAACATAAAGCAACATACTAATCAGTGAATATTTATGAGCACGTATTATGCAGCAAGCACTATGCAAGTGAATGAAACAGTGGTGAACAAAACAAATGGTTGTTAATTTTATGAGATTAACAACCTGTAGATAAGACAGTGAGTATGCAAGTAGATAACAGACTTTTCACCTAATCAGGTAAACTGCCAAGAAAGGACATGAAATCGAGAGATTAAAAAATAGGGAAAGTTAATCTGATATAGTGAATTAGGATAAGACAAAGTGTTTTTTTAAAAAGATTTATTTGTTTATGCATACAAGTAACCAGGGATCAAATTCAAGCTGCAGAGGCTGCAGACCATTTCGAAGTGCTGTGCTCAACCTCTTGTGCCACCAGGGAGGCCCAAGACAAAGTGTTTTAGACAGAAGAAGCAGTATAAGCAGAAGAAGAGGTGAGTACATTCAGAAAGAACCCTTTGATCATCAAGTAGAATGTAAAGGGTTAAAGTGGTTCAAAGTGAGGCATATTTATTTGATTAGCAATCCCTCTGCCAGGAATATGTATCATAGATATACTGGTGAAAATACAAAGTGACATAATGTACAGGGCTATCAACCTCAAGACAGTTTTTAACAGCAAAATCTCTCAATAACAGAGTAATTTATCATTTCTCTATGAGATCTGCATGAATAAAAAAAATAAAACAATGTTTTTCTGGATGTATAAAGATGCAAATCAACTTTCAATATTAAAATTTCTTGTAATTTCAATCAAGTGGCAACATAAACAATAAAATATAATAAACAAAAAATGTAATAAATATAAACAGTAATATAAAACACAAATGAGGTCACTGGAGAAAGATGTGTAAAAATGGTCAAGAAAAACAAATATGTGAAAAGAATAATGAATATGATTTGTCCATTGAACTATCAAGATATAATTACTATAATAATTTTAAAAACAATATGGTAATTAGGACAAAAATAAGAATTTTAAATATCAATTCCAATTTCTCAATAATCAGACAAGTCTTACCTGGTATCTGTCAGGAATATGGCCTTTTAAGATGGAGACTATGTCATCCGTACACAGTCCTTCCCCTTCCTCACCCAGCCCCAATGAGTCGCACAGCATAAATGGCAGGAGGTTGCCATCCTCTCCATCCTTAATGGAATATGTCCTGTACTGCAGAGAAGAGAGCAACTTTAAGAATTCTTCTGGAAAAAAAAATAAATAATTGAATTTTGATGAGGTCTACATGCCATGAAGTGGATCAACTAAAAGTTCTTAAGTCTAGGGCCTCCCCGGTGGCGCAGCAGTTGAGCGTTGGGTTGCAAAGCTGCCCGCAGCCTCTGCAGCACCAGTTCGGTCCCCGGCTGCTCCCCGGCCACTGGAGGAGGGTCCCACATGGCGCGCAGACCTCTCCTGCCGCCCGCTGCTCCCCTCAGCAGTGTACTTCGGTCCTTCTGCCTGCTCTGCTCCCCGCTCTGGCTCTGGTGAATTCTCTCACCCTCCCGCGCTTCTGACTGTACCCAGTGCTTGTATAAATAAATAAAAAATAAATCTTTAAAAAAAATGTCATTTTTAAAAAAAAAAAAAAAGTTCTTAAGTCTAATTAACTTGAACAAAAAAGCAAAGGTTCTGAGATGAGAACAAAGAAGCAAAGATTGAGAATGGACTTACCTTCTTTGATGTCCCACCTGGATCAGAGCCCACCAAAACCTGCTGGGTTACATGACCTCGGAAAATAGACTTCACTGAGTTGATGAAGCTAGACTTCCCAGCTCCGGTAGGACCCAGCAGCAGAATTCGTGCTTGGTGAACCAGATTTCCATATGGCTTGTAAGTTCTTATCTCAGACAATAACTGCTTCCTGAGCCTTTTTAGGTAACACAATTTTTAACAGTTGACTGAGTTAGTTTGTAAGACCTTACCATAAATTTTCCTAAAATTCATTTTCTATTGTTATGTGTTATTATTTTTCATTTGCAACTTATTTTCTAGTACAAAAGGACAGAAAATTATCCTACCTCAAATTCTATTGTAAAAGAATTACAATATTAACTAAAATCAGACACAAACCTTTCAGATTTAAGTTACTAGGCTATATGAACTTAGGAATAAATATCAATTATGAAGATAAACTGTCAACAATATCAAAATTAAATTTCAAAAACCACAATATGATATGTGACTTTTGAAGTTTGTACAAACTTGGTCTGGAAACTCATAATAAGTATTCTCCCATTGCCAATCATCCCTTCTACAATAATTCCCTAAAGTAGTTAAAACTAACTGCAAAAAATGAAAACACGCAGACAAATAACAACTTTCAAGTGCATAAAAACATTACATGCAATACATCTACACAGAGCCGATTTTATTTTGACATTACTATTACCAAAAATTTCATTATAAAAATAGTTTTGTTCTGTTGTTGATGATCCTTGTTATCTGTTATAATTTGTGCTAAAAACTTTATAGACAGCTTATAAGAGTGTTCAAGATAATAAACACAGTAATAGACCATTAAAGACATTGACTTACTCAGTGACATATTTCATTCTTCTTTCACTTAATATATCTAGGGAAATAATCAAACGATAGTGAAGATTACAAGTTGTTGAATGACTGGTACACTGACTACCAAGGAATTCACAAGGGAAAAGTACAAAAACTGCAGCATAGTCAAAACTAAGTTAAAAAAAAAAAGTGACATCTCTTTAACATCATTTCATTTGGACACCTTTAAAACATTTCATGGCCAAGAATTTTATAGAAATGTCTATTTCCCTGCACCCTTGAAATCCTTGGTATTATCAAATTTTTAATATTTGGCAATCTGTAGTCAAAAGGTATTTTAAGGGCTTCCCTGGTGGCGCAGGCGGTTGAGCACCACACTGTGAAGCTGTCTCCGCAGCCTCTGTAGCGTGGGTTCTATCCCGGCCAGCTGGCAAGAATCCCACATGGCAAAGCAAACCTCTCCTGTCTCTCCCACTGCACCCCCCAGCAGTGTATTTCATCAGTCTGCCTGTTCTGTTCCCGGCTGTCTGGTGAATCCTCTTGCCCTCCCTCGCACCTAGCCTATACCCCGGTTCTTGTATAAAAATAAATAAATCTTTTAAATAAATAAATAAATAAATAAAAAGTGGTTTTGAGCATCTCATTTGTAGAGACCAGTGTTAGAAACAGGGTAGACACTGCAAGACTATAGTGTTAGCAGACCTTTTCTCACTCAATTATTCAATAGGATGTAGGAGATAGAATTGGGGTCCTTTCTGAATCAGAAGAAAGAACAAATCACTTAAATGGAAACAATAATAAATAATAAACAAATCTGAGCTTAGGTTTTCCACAGCAACACTACATCAGTGCCGTGGTAACATTACAACATCCCCCCAAATAAAACGTGATCTAAGAATTATGCATTCTGATAGTAGTTCAAGTATAAAGATCACAGCAAGTTTAGAACTTGCAAATATTTAGGGAATATTATTCCCAGATACTCCTCTTTTAAATGGATAAATATAAACAAGTATTTCATAAAATAAATATAAATAGCCAGTACATACGTACTTGTTAATGATTCAGAGATAAACAAAAAAGAAAATTAGAAACCACCTTTTGACTACAAATTGCCAAATATTTTAAAATTTGATAATACCAAGGATTTCAAGGATGCAGGGAAACAGACATTTCTATAAAATTCTTGTTCATGAAATTTTTTAAAGGGGTCCATCAAAATGCAAATGTGCATAATCCTTAAACTTCAGTTAGTCTTCCAGGAAGTCATCATAAGAAGTGCATATTGTATGCATAAATATATTATAGGAACGCTTATAATAGTAAATATTGGAAACAGTTGAAATGTCCTTGATTGGAAAAATTATTTGGTCTTTTGATATAATGTATATCATGGGAAACTGCATCAGAAATGATCCATTACCAGTCACAAAAATGTCAAGTATTTCAAGTCCTGGCTTCAGTCTAAGAGAATATCACAATCCCAATGTTTGCTTCCTTCTCCCCTCTCTCCTCTCCCTTCCTCCTTTTGTCACGATTGTCATAATTGTCTTAGCAAACAATTTGTGCCAGATTTCACTTTGGATCACCTGGTGACAGGGACAAGTAAAAACATCATTCTTCCCTCCAGAGGAGTCAATTAGATCCTACAAGCACAGAGGAAAGAACTTTATAGGGTTATCTGATTAACCTTACCTTCAAGTCGAAAAGCCTCACACTCCTCGATAGAAATAGCATTACATTGAGGAAGTCCAAGTTTTTTAATTGTTTCTGCGTGCATATTCACCTTCTTGTTTGATAAATCTATGTTGAATTCACTGGGACCTATATTCCTACACGAATTGGAGAAAAAATGTGATCCTATTTTGCATTCTGAAATTTCAGTCTCTTGTAAGGCAAAAGCGATGATGGGCACCCTTTCATTCTTCAAGCCCACAGGCATATATGCCCCAATAACATGATCTCCACTATAAACTACTATTAAAGCAGGTCCTTGGTCATAGCATTTATCAAACAAACCATGATGATAGAATCCTTGGCAGGTAGCCTTATAAAGAAGACTAAACTGTTTTCCTCCAAAATAATTTTGCAGTCTCTTTTCTTGTGTCCATGTCAGACAAGTTGTCACTGCCATACTTCTCAATCTAGTGGAAAATCAAATAATTTCCCGTTAAATACTGAAAAACAGGTAAAAAATAGTGTCACAAAGTCTGTATTGATTCCTCTTACATACTCTGTTACCTATGAATCAAGTAAACAGAAATGGGTGAACAGATAAGAAAAATACTAGCCAGCTTTTTATTCTAAATGATTTTGTTGAATTAAAATTAACTTTTTTAATGAAAAAAAAAGGCTATTACATGCAAGTAGCTAGAATATGTAAAGCATCAGGTCAATTACCTGTTTGCTGAATTCGTGCAAGGGCTGGAACTGAAGCAGTTGCTCTTTCTGGACAGCAAGCCAGGCACAAAATGGGGACAAAAACTCAGCAATCTTGAGGCTTCCGATACAGAGAAAAGGAAACTGAAACTAAGCATGGCCAAACCCCAAAGCAAGGCTTACTTCCTGAGGAAGAAACACAAACAGATTCAGCTCATTTTAGATAGTACAGCCTGTAAAATAATATTGGGTGAATCAAATGGAATTATATAGAAGAAAAACCTAACTGCTCACTACTTTTTTTTTTTTTTTTTTAAGAGCCACCTATTTATACATACAAGAACGGGGGGGAGGGGGAGGGGGGAAGCTTCACCAGAGACAGAGCAGGGAACAGAACAGGCAGACCTACCAAAAGTCCAAAAGTCCAATGCTGAGGGGAGCAGCGGGCTAGACAGAGGAGGTCTGCTGTGCCCCGTGGGCAGCTCCTCAGTTGGCTGGCCCGCAGGGGATTAAACTTGTGCTGCAGAGCTGCAGATAGCCTCACAGTGCTGTGCCCAATCCCTTGTGCCACCAGAGAGGCCCTCACTGCATATTTAAATGACTTTTGTTAAGGAAAATCCAAGCATTTTCTGTACATGGACATTAAAAAAAAGGGGCTGTCTGTTTTAACTGCAGGACATATTTGTCAAATTTACCTACTGCTCTTGATATTTGCTATCAATTTATTCTGGGCCAACATATTTCTTTATGTAAACTGCTATAATAACCTCCAGATTTTTCCCCCTGCTCTCTTGCTTGTCCCCTATCCAATGCATTCTCTTTGACATAGTCAGCTTCAACTTCCTCTGTCTGTAAAATGTAAACTAGGTGATGTTGACACCTGCCATCCCACACCCTCCCCCACCTCACCCCCACCCCCCTGCAGGCCAACTTGCAGGGCAAGTTTTCCTTTTTGTATTTTGTGCCTGAATCATAGAATGGGAAAATGTTGATTAGGTTGACTTGCAATAGAAATGATCCAATCTGCCTGCTTAAGATCCAATGATCCATTCAGCCTGCAGGTAAGGTAGGGGACCCCCAGAAAGAGTATGTAAGGCAGACAGAAGCCAGTTTAAAGGACTCTATTCCTTGCCTCTGAGGAAAGAAGAAAGAAACTGTTCCTGGCCTCTGAAGGGAGATCAGACCCTGTTCCTAGCCTCAAAAGAAAGTAGAGCACTCTGTCCCTGCCCTCTGAAGAAAGAAGCATCCAGCAACCGACCTCCAAAGGGAGAAGCGAACACCCTGTCTGGGTCACTACTAAGAGCTGTTAAGCACTTCTGATCACCCAGCCCTGCCTCCCAGTGCTACTGCCTCCATTGCTGTCTGGTCCAGCATCTGGTGCTGTCCATTCCGACCTTCAGACTGTTGCTGCGGGCTGCTGCAGTCTCACCTCAACAGCCCCACCTGTGAGCACCTCCACAGTGGATTGGACCCTAACCACGGCTTGCCGGCTGCCACGAGCTCCAGACCCTTGTTGACAGGGACCGGCAACATCTTAAATGAGTGACTTTGTTTAGGACTTCTGGTCACTGTGGACACAGAGGTGAGCTACCTGGCCACTGATGGCCTTAGTAACTCTTTATTTCCCGTGTTTGTTAAATAAACCACATTGTTGTTCCCTGAGACCGAGTAGTCTTGCAATTATGCATACAAGTGAAAACCCACGGACAGTAACCTGTCCCCTATTGGGCACTGTCCTTTGATCCACTGTAGCCCCCAATAACTGTATTTCAACATCAGTTCACACTAAAATGGCCTTCCCTGACTTCCCACAACTAGGGTCACAAATGTGGAAGTCCTATAGACTGATGGCAACCTTCAGATTTCCTTTGCAAGGCCGACAAAATTCCTTTTTTCTTTTTTTAAATTTTGAACTTTTATGCTTTTACATCATTGTGGCATCCACTTTCCAGTTTCTCATTGCCCTCTTAGATCCCCTATTCCTCAAGGTGGCGCAGCAGGTTGAGCGCAGCACTGTGAAGCTGTCCACAGCCTCTGCAGCTTGGGTTCGATTCCTGGCCCACTGGGGAGATACCCACATGGCACAGCAGACCTCTCCTGTCATACTGCTCCCCTCGTTAGTATTTTTGGTCTGTCTACCTGTTCTGTTCCCCACTCTGTCTCTGATGAATTCTTTCACACACACACACACACACACACACAAACACACACACCACGTCTCTGGCCAATACCTAGTTCGTGTATAAATAAATAAATCTTTAAAAAAAAAAGAAAATTAAGAAAAAAAAACCCTATTCCTTATTCTGACAAATTTAATTCACCTGCTTGCTTCTTCCAAGAAAGAATTTAAAGTTTGAATATTAAAAAAAACCAACAGCAACATCAAGTAAAAATATTTTAAGGGCCTCCCCGGTGGCTCAGCAGTTGAGCGCTGGGTTGCGAAGCTGCCTGCGGCCTCTGCGGCACCGGTTCGATCCCCGGCTGCACCCTGGCCACCATAGGAGGGTCCCACATGGCGCGCAGACCTCTCCTGCCACCCGCTGCTCCCCTCAGCAGTGTACTTCGGTCCTTCTGCCTGCTCTGCTCCCCGCTCTGGCTCTGGTGAATTCTCTCACCCTCCCACGCTTCTGACCGTACCCAGTGCATGTATAAACAAAACAAACAAATAAAATAAATAAATAAATAAAACATGCCTCTATTAAAAAAAAAAATTAAAAAAAAATATTTTAAGCAACTTTTGGGTATTATTCACCAATCTAAAAAAAAAAAAAAACAGACCACCAGAGTTTATTTTATGCTTATGCTTTGGCACACATTGAACATGTTTCATTTATTCATTTTGAAATGTTGAAAGTCCACAGATTCCAAAAATATGTTATCCTGTTTTCCCCTATATTGTAAGGAAGTTTGTAATAACATTAAACTGCCTGGCCACAATGAAGATGGAAGAGACCAGCTGCATCACTTGATGGAGCTTTTCCCCCAAAGCTTTCTCTATTTATACATCAATAAGATGACTCCTTTCTGGAGAGCTAGGAATTTGAAGGATGATCTTATCTCACTGTGGGCATTTGGGTGGTGCTTTTGGTGGAGCAGCCTGGTATGCTTGAGTACAGCATACCTGGGCCCTCAAGGCAACCCTTTGGGATCTTGTAAGCCTTGTGCAATGGCCTCCAGGCAACATGAGGTGGACGTCTTCAAGCTTCAGAGTGACACTTCTTTCCCACCAAGAAATAAGGATGAGATGAGGAACACAGCATCTTACTCTAGACTCTCTCCCCTGACATCCTGAGTGAGGGGTACTGGGAAGTGAGTGGAGCAGAGTGCCCACAAGGGCTTAAAAGAAGGAACCCGTGCTGGTCAGCTCTTTTCATGGTTGATGGTGACACATGTGTCCAGGTTCTGGAGGTCTCCTCAGTTCTTGAGACTGGCTTCTGCTTGCCTCAGGCTTTGAAGGGTGGGCCTCTTCCACCCTCCAACCTCCCACATGTGCTGCAGGTACCTGCTTCCTTGGCTGAGCAAGGCAACAGACACAGTGCCCCTTGACTCCTGCTTAGACTCTGGTCACTATACAACAAACACTATCTGGGGCAAGACAGATGGCACCTAGCCATGTGCCAGCCTATGAATTATTTTTCTCTCATCCTTTCTCTCTCAGCTTTCCCTTTTCTCACTCCCTATGTTGTTTCTCTTTGTGTGTCCTATTTCATAAGAGTGTGAGGGTGAGGACCCACCAACAATGTCAGCCCCTTTCCCACAGGGGTTTGCTCCATTTCAGTGATCACTGTAGCCTTATGATGGAAGTGTTGGAAACCATTAGATGTACAAATGTAGTTCTATTGCCAAAAAATGAATAAGACTGCAGAGAAGTCATCTCTACAAAGCTGAGTTACATGCTGTGTGATCTGTAGTTAACAAGTAATCAAAGAGTGGCCTCCCACCTTGGCCACAATGAATTTTCAAGTGTGAGCAGTTCTATTTTCCTATTTTCATGGTCAGTGGAGAGAACCTCTAGTCTAATACCTTGTTGTTTATCTATCAGGGCCCACTGCTTTACAAGCTGCTTGTGGTGAGCAAGATCTTGACATTAGTTCCAGCAGAAACACATAGGGATATTTCTGAAAAGCTGTGCTAAAAGAGAAACAGTCTCAAGCAAAGAACACTGGGTAATACACCAGCTTTCAGAGATCAGCAAGTACTGAGTACAGTGTCAATAGTATCTAAATGCTTTCTATGGTCAAGTCAAATGCTTCCTGATGGGCTCAAAAGATCAGAAGAGTCCCTCTTTTTTCTTTTGCCTCAAGAACTTCGACTGGAGCAGAAGGGTCTAAATGACCAGTTCAGTAATAAGACTGGAAACCCTAGGGTAATATCTTACAATTCCTTGTATCATCAATTGAACACAAATAAACAAGACTTAGCTCTTTAATAATAAATAAGTAAGATATGGAGATGGGAGATTTCACTTGGTATTCTATACCTACTTTCATTTTATTGCAAGAGTTACTGTCTCACTTAATGAGACAATTTCAAACCTGTCCCCCAGTCAGCCACATACAAATAATCCAATACCATTATTGGTAGCTCTTGCTCATAAATTACATCATTTGTGTGAACCAGCACCTTCAAGAAATTGATATTCCCAGTTTTTCTGTCTTTGAACCTTTGGAAGACATAGATACAGCATATAAGTTCAGAGATATGATAGGTTCCATCTAAAGACCTTTGTTGGAGTTTCCCTTCCATAATTCCGTTGCCTTGTCAGTGTCAATGATCCACCCTATATTGTGGAAGTATTCAGATTTTCTCAGATCTGTATGGAGGGACTGTTCTTCAACTGTTCAGACAACCCAATCTTAATCTCAGAGCAGAGATGGTTTTTCTTTTGGGTAATCTGTAGATAATATTCAGACAATTATTAATGAGAGAGTCACAGGTCACATTAACAAGACTAACAGATAACATTTGTTCTCTACAGAGTGATGTGTGGACATATTTCCCAGTTTCAAGGCAGTGCCTTATCCCTGGCCCCTCAAATGGTACTCAGAATACCAAGGACTTCTCAAAGGCAATAACTCTGATTAAAAGCAAATTAGTCTACTATAATACAGATAACTATTGAACCAGAGCATATGAAAGAAAATTTCATATGAAATTTGGAAAAGAGAGTTAAGAATGTTTTTGGGGGAAAAAAATTTAAAAAGTTACCTTGTAGCATACTTTTTTTTCCTTTCTTAGTAGTCCCAACTCTGACATCTATCCAGAGGACTTAAGTATCATTTGGTATGAGACAACCTTCCTACTAAGTTGCACTAGAAACTTTAATTTGATCAGTCTATTTTAGAGGTACAGCAAGGATGGTTTGAAATTCAATTAACGAAAACCAGGCATGGATTTAATAAAGGAGAAATTTTATTTTATAGCAGAATAAAAAGTAATTTCTTAAAAATATTTTCTCATCTTAGTTAATCGATATATGCGGTTTCATCCAGAAATGAGTGAAATATTGATTTCCATGTTTTTCCTCCAGCATTGCATTGTCTCCCAGACTTCCCTTCTGCAAAGAGATAAATTTTGAATACTTATTATTCTTATATACACTATGATGGGAATGCTAGGTCACTACCACACGCTGTTTTATGTTCTGTAAATACAAAGATAGTAAAATCCAAACCTTGATTCTCAAAGAACTCACAATCTACTTAAGGAAGCAGACAATTAAATAATTATTTTATAGTCATTATTCATAGGATTCATAGTAATATAAAGCTTTATGTAACATGCTAAGAAAAGTAAGGAAATAATTTGCTGAGGGGGGTTAAAAAGATACAGAAATTAAATTGTAAATGATGCAAAAACATGGAGGGTAGTCTGTGGTAGGATATATCTTGACCTACCACTTCTCAGGGTTGGTTTTTTGGCCTTGAGGTATAGCTGATTGTAAATGGTTAATGTGTTAAATGTGTTCAAAGACAGAAGGTAAAGCACAAATGAAAGCAAAGTCTCATGGTGGTCTTCAACAGAGATCACCACTAACTGGGATGTACCAATCCAGGTTTGGGCCAAGCATCAGAATCAAGCAGATGATGTCACATGTAGAACTGTAAAACTCTTGCATTTAATCTGAAAACCAAAAAAAAAGCATAGAAATGAAGCATGAAGAACATACTAACATGGCTGTCAGGATTATGGTAAGCAGAATGGGAAAAGCCATGCAATGGAAGTATATTGTTTCTCAAAAAGTACCAGTTCTCAAAAAGTATCAGTTTAGTGTTTCTCAAAAAGTACCAGTTCTTAATGAGAGGAGAAGAAAGGGGTCAGACTACCTGTTTCCTCGAGAGGCAAATCCTCTAAGGCATCATCTGCAGCCCGCAACATCTGCCTCAGTGCGGAAAGAATGAGAATGTCCTTTAAAGGATCCTCTTTCCAAGTTGAATAATAATTTTCAACCAACAAGATATTAAAAATAGGAATGTTTAGAATTTTCTGGACTTCCTTTATCTGTGAGAAAATGAAATTAATGTTTTATTTCTTGAAATTTGACTGAACTTAAGTATAATTCAAGAAAGAAATCAGAAAAGCTTGCTAAATCACATAATTGCAATTTTTAAGTGGTATATAAACTTGAATTAACCAAGCAATTGATCCATTTCTTCATTTACCTGTGACTATGTAATGTGAATACACACACATACACACACACACACAGAGTGTAATACTCTTACAATGACATCTGGTTACAAACAGTATTCTTTACCTGCCTCTGAGAAGTCACAGATGTATTCATGTTTAACAAGTCATCTTGAAGAACTTCACTGCAATCATACACTTTAGTAAGCAAGGCTACAAGTGCTATACCTACATGAGGCAGATAAATCAGTAATTTTATATTATAAACAATAATATGTCAACAAGGTAATTAAATATGCATGAAAGCAGTTCTCTAAAGGGTGATTGTAAGATTTGCAGAATGAAATATCCCCAATAAATCTCAAGATGGCACATGTGGTTACGAGGAGAAATTCTCTTTTTCCCCCAACATGAGAGGTCATTTCTAAATCCAATCAAATTCACAGTAACTTGAAATTATCTACATTCCATGTAAATAGTGCATTTTAAAGGAAGGGATGGGATGCTGATTGCTGGACCTGGAATCCTAAAAATTAAAAAAAAAAAACAAGAAATAGACAAAATGGGAATGTTTATATGTGAGCATTTATAATGTGCTGATTTCACAGTTCTACTAAGGACATATTGTCTTGCCCCTCAAAGCACAGAAATGAGATGAGCCAATCACACTCCTAATCTAATCAAAATTCCACTCTACTAAAAACTGCTTCCTGGAAAGAATATAAATTTAAGGCACCCAAATGCCAGTCCAGAATATACTCTTTTACCAGAGTTTTTAGTAATCCTCCTCATAGATATCTTCTGTTTATGATTCTATTACTAAATGACCACTTTTATCTATCTTCTCTTTTTTGATGTGTCAGAGCAATAAATCGCAAAGTTGGTCACTAGAATTAATATCTGGGCACTAGAAGAGGGCAATTTTCTGTTGACACATATAGTTTTTATCCAACTTATGTTACAATGTCCACTGTTTCAAATTTAATGCAATGTCTTTTCAGAGGCTGTGAGTCAGCATAGTTAGATGCATTAAGCATTGTCACTCAGCAGGATATGTAGCTATGTGTCCTTGAAAAACTCATCTCCAATCATAGCACTTTTTTCAGTCTTATCCCAAACCCACCATCATTTTAGAGCATTTCTGTTACACATTTATATATGCTTATACACCTACATATATGAATATATGTTATTACAGTTTTTACATGCAAAATGTATTGTTCCCATTTTACAAAAGACTACAGTTCAGTGCACTTAAGTTGATTTTTTCAAGATTAAAAAAGAAATTTCACTGATTTATTAATTGTTTCATAACAATATAATTTGGGGAATACAGATTTACACTTTAACACATGCATATGCTTCCCTCACTCTCCACCAACTCCAGGGCACTACTGTCACATTCCGCCTCGAATCCCTCCTCCCTCTTCTTGATGAGATGAATTTACTGGTTTTGATCTTCCTGACCTAGTTAAATAATATGGGGAAGTGTCTTCCCTACTGAACCACGAGAAAGTCACACATGACAAAAATCTGTGGCCATCCTTGTCTTTAAGAACTAAAGACCAGGATTTAAGATTTTTCCTTTACTCAAGAATGTGACTAATGTGTGTCAGCTGTTGCCACCAACCATCCCTGGGCTCTGTGAAGTGGGAGAAGAGTGTACCTGGGACCTCTGTAATCTCTCTGCAATCATTCCAACATTGATTATATAACTTCAAAATAAAAATTTTCATAAATACAATGAAACTCACCCCAGTGTAATGCTTCTTTTTGAATTTGTTTGAAATTTTCCACCATTTTAGAGGAAAGTCTGTGGATAGAGTTGATGTCTAAGACAAAAGCCACACATTGAATTCTGTCTTTTAGTTCTGGAGTAGAGATGTAGTTAAGATGCTTTGGTGTAATTGGTTTATCAGGATTAAACTGTTAGGGAAACATAAGGTAACATTTTGTAAGTCTCTGTTCACTTTTTTAAGACACATTTTATGTTTCAAACATGACCACCACTATCTTCCAACCTGAAGATGTCCCATTCCCCTCCAAGCTCCAACTCCAGGTTAGTTAGTAGTGCCTCTTCCATACGTCTTTCCTATAGTGATATGCCATTATATACATATATTAAAAAAAAAATCACTTCATTGTTTTGGTGAAAAATGATAACTATCTATAATTTATATTTTCCATAATGGAGATATTTTTAAAACAATACAAAGAATGCTTAAATGGAAAGCTAACTTCAAATCTGTCCCCAGGAAAATATTATATTAATATTTGTTACACATGATATAAGATTCTAAGTAATTTGTATATACTTAAACAAATTCATGACTATAAATAATAATATGGAAATATATAGTATATTCTGAAAATGTCATTTTAATCTAAAATATTATCTTTTTTTAATATTACAGAAGAAAAAAAAAACTAAAGCAGAAGGAATATGAACTCTCAAGTTAATCTTACCACATGACAATAATCTTTCTAGGATTAAGAAAATAGGTTAGAAAAAATGGAGTTTGGATTCATTATTTTCATAACTATATGTCTCAATGTTGGACTGAACTGAGCAATTTTCTGCTCTGAGAAATGAAAGTGCTTGTATGTTCATGATTTCCCCATCTCCCTGCACCAGCTTCCTCTTCCCTATGTCTTTATGTCTCCTTAACTGGTAAATTCCATGGCATAAGGATTATGGTTTATGTGATTCCAGTAGTTAGCACAGTATCTGACACAAACTTGTTTTTTATTTAAAATGTTTCCAATCTAGCAGAATTGAGAGGCAAAGAAAATCACTGGTAGAAACTGAGGTAGCTTTTATCTAAAAGAAAGGTAATAATAACAGTTAACCTCTCGAGAATTTATAGCACATCATCTCATTTAATATTCTCAGACAACCTATGACTGGCATTATTATTGCTTACATTTCACATGTGAAAGAACTAAGACTAACAAAGACAAGCATCTAAATTTGTTATGAGTGCACAGCTAATTAGTGGCAGAGTTTATATGGGTTCTAAGTAGTAAAGCCTACATATTTACTATATAAGATCACACATCAAAAGAAAGTGATTAATTGTTCCATTTTATCTATGTAATCAAAAAAGTGCAAGAGGTTAAAACCACTAATTTCCAATTATTTTACAACATGGTAAAGAGTGATATAAACAGTCTCTTCCTGACATTTTCCCTGGAACTTGGATGAGCAGAATGCACATTTTAGCTGTGTTTCTTAGAGGTACAGAAAAGAAAAACATATGCTTTGTTTACTTATGTTACTGTAATTATTTAAAGTACAGTAGCATTGGCTAATGTTGGAACCATCTTAAAATTGAAACTGCCTTATGGGATAAAAATTCAACAAAAAATCATTGATAATATAATTTGAAATGATTCGAAGTTTGTAGAATTCTTACCTGGTATCTGTCTGGCATGTTGCCTTTTAAGATGTGGGCTATGTCATCCATACACATTCCTTCTCCCTCTTTATCAGCCAGCCCCATAGTGTCACACAATGTAAATGGTAGAGATTTGCCCTCTTTTCCATCTCTTACTGAATATATCCTATACTATAAAGGAAATACATCAAATATAAAATTTCATTCTTCAAGGGGCCTCCCCGGTGGCACAGCAGGTTGAGCGCCATGCTGTGAAGCTGTCCGCAGCCTCTGCAGTGCGGGTTCCATCTCCAGCAGTAGCGAAAATCCCACATGGTGCCACATGGAGCAGTCTTGCCGGCTGCTCCACTCAGCAGTGTATTTCTGTTATCTGCCTGTTCTGCTCCCTGCTCTGTCTCTGGTGAATCCTCTCACCCTCCCGCAACTCTGGCCTGTACCCTAACTCTTGTATAAAATAAATATATCTTTAAAAAAAAACAAAATAAATTTTTTTTTAAAAAATGGCATGCCTTTCTTTCAAGGCATGACAATAAATCCATCAATGGATCTTAAACTTCGAATATATCATTTATCCATGCATGATTTTGTGACCTGATGCATTGGTCATTCAAAAATATTGGCTCACTGGCATATCTATATCTTTCATATACTGGCACATTTCACTGTACAATACCAAAACATCACATCTTTTAATACCACCATTATTCTCATCTCCTAAGAAGCCCATTATCCTTATGTTTCCTTTCCTAAGGGAGTCTGATTGTTCTCATAGCATTTCTATTTTTTTTTCCAAACCTTATTCTTCTCTCTTCTTTCACCTCAGTCATTTCTAGATTTATAGACTCAATTTCACTAATTTTTTCTTGACAAAAATCTATCCTACATTCTGGCAAAAGTAAAAAAAAAATCTATCCTACTGCCTAACCTTTCTATTGCAGTCTTCATTTCATACTGAATTCTCCATATGCAGAATTAGATTCTTTTAAAATGGACTCTACCTCTGGTTAAATACTCCTCTGTTCCTTAATGTTCCTTCCTGAGTCCATTGAATTGCCTTTTTGTGTTATTTTATAGTTTGTTGTTTCTTCATGAAACTATTTTGGATTTTCCATATGTTAAATCAAAAAATTCTGTCTTTTTTTTTTTACTAGGGGTAAGTTTGATTTCTTCTTCATTTTGACATTTTGCTAGCATATCATATCATGCAATGGTATGAGTCTATGTCTGAGCACTTGACTTACTAATAGCAATCAGTTGTCTTTCTTTCTTTCAAGTAGGTGCAGTGTAGCTTTAGTTTTCAGGTTTTCTTATCTATATCATGGTAACAGGTAGGGGTAGGAGAAGGCAGAAAATGAACCAGGCTCTAAGTACAACAGCTATGAGAAGGTTGCTTTAAGTCAGTCCTGGGTGCAGATTCCCAGAAGGGGTTTCATCCTGTGTGCACAGACTCTGTTATTGCCTTTCTTTGGGAGTTACAGTATTGTGGACTACTGTATCACTTAGAGTACAAATGTCTTTATGGCAAAGGAGGAGGGAATAGGATTATAGTCCTGCACACTGTTGCCATAGCTTTTTTCAACATATTTTGGCCTCTCCTTATCTGTCATGGAGTTCACTAGACCCTAAGTTATAAGTGTCCATGCTGCCTCCATGCTCTCCCAGCCTGGTCTATAAATAAGTCTGGAGATGCAACTGTCACTCTCCGAAACCTCTGTGAATCCCAATCCACCCACCTATAGACATTGAGATATATAGGTCTCTCTGGCATCCTGGCATGATTAGCAGAGAGACCCAAGTTGAATTATAAAGAGTCAATATTTAAATAAAAAGAGAGAAAATATGGTTGATCCTCACTCCATTGTAATACCAATTACTTTCACTTTATTACTACTTTTTTATTGAAGATAACAACAATGAACATGCAATTGAAGAAAATTTGTACATAAATATTGAGCAATAGTTTGTAGATATTTAAAGTAACAACTTTAAAAATGTTATTAGTACTTCTTTTCTTTCCTTTTTTTTAAAGATTTATTTATTTATGCATACAAGAGCTGGGATACAGGTCAGAGATGTGGGGGTGAGAGGATTCACCAAAGACAGAGTGGAGAACAGAACAGGCAGACTGACTGAAATACACTGCTGAGGGGAGCAACAGGTGAGATGGGAGAGGTCTGCTTCACCATGTGGGTTGCTCCCTGGTGGCTAGGGATTGAACTGCTGCAGAGGCTGCAGATTGCTTCATAGTGAGGTGCTTAAGCCCTTGCATCACCAGGGAGGCCCAGTACTTACTTTCTTAAATCTATCTATATGCAAATAAGCTAGCCTTTGTAAGAGAATTGATACATTCACACTTTGAAGGTTGACTCACCAAAATGAGTCAGTTTTGCTTTTCAGGAACATTTCTTATAGAATGGTTTTATATAATGGAAAATTATTGTATTGCATAATTCTAATTGTTATTCTAATTCTCATTATAAAAAAGAGAAAAGCATGCAAAGCAATGAGGGGCATAAGTAAAAATATATATCAAATACAATGGGCAAATATTTTCACAAAGGTTTTTAAATTTATTATTCTTTACTATAAGTAAAAAGTAATATTTTCATGTAGCTTCTATTGCATCCATAAAAATGGAACCTCAATGGAGGCAATTCTAATTCAAATTTTACTTTCATTTTATATTTTATTTAGCATTTCATTGTTTAAATATTAGTAGGAGGGTAATGGTCTGAGAGAAGATGACAAAGAAATGAAGAAAACTAGTAAGTGTAATCACTAAAACATAAGCTGCAGGAAAGCCTGTAATCATTTACCTGTTTAGTAATGCTGGTTATATCAGACCCCACTTGGGCTTGTCGAGTCATATGGCCTTGGAAAATGGACTTCACTGAATTGAAAAAGCTGGACTTTCCAGACCCAACAGGGCCCAGCAGTAGAATACGAACTTCTGAAACCAAATTTTCATAAGATTTGTAGTCTCTGAGGTTTTTTAAGAGTCTTTCCCTGTGCCTGTTAAAGTGCAGTAATTAAGTACAACAGCCAAACTTCCATGAACATAGCACAATATTCCTTTTTCTTCCCTTTAAAATTATATTTTCATTACTTATTATTTTGATATTAACATCTACCATATAATTTGAAATGGTCTAAACTTAAACATTTTGTGCTTGAACATGAGGCATTTATCTATATCTGACTAAATGTAAACATTACCCAGAAGCCAAATTTTCATTACACTATTAGCCTTAGACTAGATAAATCTAATCACCACTATCAACAGCATGGAAGATGAATTATTATTTTCAGTAATATTATATTAAGGAAATAAAAACAAAATACATGCATTGCAGTATATCTATACATTGTGGACTTCCCTAAATTTTATTGGAGCTCCCCAAAATCTTTATACACAAGGAAAGGACTCAGAAGAATTATCTAAAATAATCATCCAGACTTTGGAAATCTTGAATCTACAGTGAAACTTCAAGTCAAATTGTCATCAGATAGATTTTCAAAGTCCCACAGTAGGTAGTGGTTTGGTTTTATTTTCTAAATTGCCTTTGACACACTATGTCAGTAACATTGTAATTCATTTTTACTACTACCGCTAATATGACTTTCACTTTACTATTTCATAGCCAGTCCATTTATACAATTGGTCTAAATGAAATGATTAATAGTCCAAGAATCTAACTTACTGTGTGGCTCTTCTTATCTTGGTTATTTTGCTTATATAGCGCACATCATCCTTAATTCCTATAGGAAATAAGCATAACATAATAATTTCTTAACCTAGTTTGGTTAACTGGCCAAGTCTACCTTATATTTAGGGGACTGAGCCTGCTTACAGGCTGTGCTGTTCAGTTAGGAGTTAGGGTTAGCAGTATAATGAGAAGAGGGAAAATTATCTTCTCTACATATTAACTTCCTCTGGAAACTGACATAACTGTGCCTAGAGGTCTTAGAGCGAACCCAAAAGGAATCATGACAAGAAATAGACTTGTTCAACTAGAAGCCTCTTTCTTCATCTGCATTTCCATCTCTCTCCACTTACACACTTCAACTTACTTTGTTCAAAGCTGCTTTCATGTTCTGGGTACTAATTATAGGCTTTATGCCTTCCAGGTTTCATTTTTTAATGTATAAAAGAGAATTTGATGACATAAAATTTGATTGTTATCTTATGTTTTCTTCTTCTAGATCAATTATGGCCTAGCAAGCACAAAGACTAGAACCATAATGTAGGATTATCTAATTTAACATACCTTCAACTTGAAAAACTTCACATACATCATAGTATGCATAATACAAATGAGATATTCCAAATTTTTTACTTAATAAATCACATGAAGAACATGTCTTCTTGTCTGTATTTACAGATAAAATCTCAACATCAGAGAAATGAAAGTTCAGGCTATCTTTAGTAACTTTTGGTGTTCCAATTAAAAAATCATGTGATATTTTCACTCTTGGACTGTCAATTAAAAAAATGAAAGAAGAATTTGGTTCTTGATTATTTCCATAATTATCAGGATAATGCCCAAGTTTAAGGGCCCCCCAAATACAGTATTCGGTGTAAAAAATTGTTAGTGTTGATCCCTGATGAGCGCATTTCTCAAGTATCTTCTTCATGGCAGGTTGATGGACGTCAGACTTATAAAGAAGTCGCAAAGAAACGTTTCCAAGCAATATTTGCAGTCTCTCTTCCAAATCCCATGACAAAATGGTTGTCACAGCCATTGTTCTGTACCTGATGGAAAAATAATAATAGGTTTAAAGACTACTGTAATGATGGTTTAAAGCACAGATTTATGATCCCAGTGATATGTTTTTTTCTCTGACCCAATTCAAACACATTGTTTAGATTATAAGGCAGATTGCCTGAAATACACTGCTGAGGGGAGCAGCGGGTGAGACAGTAGAGGTCTGCTGAGCCATGAGGGTTAGCTCTCTGGCTAGGGATCGAATTCATGCTGTAGTGGCGGGCAACAGTTTGATGGCGCTGAAACTTTAACCTCTGCACCACCAGGGAGGTACCCCCAATTTTTTTTACCAAAAAAGGTGGCTGGCCAAATGCCATAGTTTGCCAATATGTGAAGTAGAAGATAGAAACAAGAAATTTATACAGAAAACAACTCACAAATAAAGAAATCAAAATATAAAAGAAATGAATCAATATGGAGGCTACATAGTGGTAGAAGTCATTAACTTATCATGCCAACATTTTCAATTAGAAAATTTAGAAATGCAGAATAAACTGTAAATTACATACATTTGAAAGCATTAGAGATTAAAAAAGTAAAGAATTATGCTATTTGCTAAAGTATAGGGGGAGGTGTTAAAAGTGAATATAACAGAGGTAAACTTGGCATTTGGGAGCACATTTGCTTGAAATGCAACTGTCAACTTTAGAAGAAGTTCCTGAGATGCTGAGAAGCTAAGTAAACAAAATGGTATAAGAAATGGGAAAGCAGAAAGTGTTAAAGATCTGAGAGATGTATCTTAAAAATTTTACATGGTCTAATGACTTGTTATAAGAGTATTTAATAACTGTAATGTACTTATGTAAAACCAAACTTTAATTTCTCCTTCTGCAAAAAAGATTAAAGCATTCTGAAACTCCCTTTACTAATTTTTAATAACAAAGACTATTTAGGTAATCTGAATATCTTGGTGTTCTTTTACCCTCGGGGTTGGTTAGCTGGAAAAAATCTAATCCTGTCAACATTGCTAACTCTTGTCAAAGAAATAGATCTACTCTTAAAAATCTTTGTCACTCTGGGTATTTACATATTTTATAAAAATCTGTAAATTTATAATAGAAGTGTTCTAAAGTATATAAGACTTCCTAAAACTTAATATATCATGGGCCTCCCCTGGTGGCGCAGTGGTTGAGCACTGGGCTGTGAAGTTGCCCGCAGCCTCTGCAGCGCTGATTTGATCCCCAGCCACCGGCAAGGGTCCCACATGGCACGCAGACCTCTCCTGCCGCCCGCTGCTCTCCTCAGCAGTGTAATTCATCAGTCTGCCTGTTCTGTTCCCCACTCTAGCTCTGGTGAATCCTCTCACCCTCTCGCGCTTCTGACTGTACCCAGTGCTTGTATAAATAAAAATGAATAAATCTTAAAAAAAAAAACCTAATATATTGTGGTAAGCAGTCCATAACACTGACCCTCAATGGGAACACCAACACTGAGATCCCAGTCTTACCCGACATCCTTTCCCCCTAACAAAAAAGCAAGAACCATATTTACCTGATTTCTCCAGGGCATGTAGAAGGTCATTGCTAAACCAGTTATTTAGGACAAACTGAGGGAGATTACTCAGGAACCCAAAGAAAATCTTACATTATTTCAGGCTAGGCATGCTAAGCCTATGAGAAGTTATACTAATCTGGACCCAGAGACTGTGGAAAGAAAAGTCATCCTAGCGGTCCACTTCATTAGCCATTCTTGCCCTGACATCAGACGCAAGCTCCAGATACTGGATCAAGGACCCCAGGCCTTTCTCAATATTTTAGGACACGGCCTTCAAGGTCTACAATAATAGGGGGGAGATCAGCCAGGCTGAGAGTAAAGAGAGGGAAAAAGACAAGAGAAGGACCCAATATATGGCAGCTGCCATTGCCAGCAACCTGCCACCTCAGACTCACACCAAACCCCATTTACAACCCCCCCCCCCCCAAGGATCTAGGACTTCACTCTCCTAAAGTGTCCCTAGCCTATTTCCTTGGCCAGCAACTGGGACACTTCAGCCATGAGTGTCCAAAGAGAGCACCCCCAGAGCCTACCCTCTGTGTCACTGCACAGGGCCATGGAAGAGGGACTGTCCCACTCTCCAAAGAGGGAGGAGGCCAGCCCAAACCAGGGACCAGATGGGAAGACAAGATGGCCATCAGCTACCCCTGATTATGAAGAACCAGGTGTGGGAAAGAAAACCTCCTTTTCTGAAGAGCCCAGAGGTGAGACAGGCTCCCCTATTTACACTCTCCTATGGGTGAGCCTCAGGTGACCCTAGAAATGGCAGACAAGAGAATATATTTTTGATGGAGACAGGAGCCATATACTCTGCCTTGCTCCAATTCTCCAGACAGACCAATTAAGTTGACTATCCTCCTCACTGGTATTGGTGGCCAACCTAAGCCAGAACAGTTAACCACACTGCTGCCCTGCTCACTACAAGGTCACATGTTTACTCACCCATCTTTGGTCTTATTTTTGCTCCATTCCTCTGTTAAGACAGGACATCATGACCAAATTCCCAGCTAGTCTACAATTAGCAGTCTCCACCGCTACTATCAGCCCTCTTAGCATATTGATGCAGGTAATAAAAGTAGTGATGGGAAGTCCCCCCCCCCAAAAAAAAAGCACTAATTCCTCCATTCTGGCTACATACCTCCAGGTGTCTGGGACACTACAATCCCAAACTATTTTTGCCACCCCTGAAAGGATACAATTATAGGACCTTGCCATCTTCCCTAGAAAGCCACAATGTCCCCTCATACCAAAAGCCCAAAGAAAAATACAACCTCTAATGCAAAATTTCTCAGGTGGGTCTTTTAAGACACTGCATTCAGAACCTTTTTGTTTAGTTTCATCTTGTTTACAGACCATCAAACTACAGCATCCAGTCACAGACTATCAGCCCCCAGGTATCAAGACCTGGAGGCATAAATGGCTGAAGAATACATGAACCTAGAGGCATGAGCAGCCCATTTTGGACAACCAAACCCCCTGCAGCCCGTCTGAAGAACACAAAGGAGTTAAAATTGACCGTGGTCTACATTTACAGAACTAGGGAAATGAAGTGAAATGAGATGAGTGTCTGGTCTGAAAGCCCATTCCCTTTTGCACTGCATTCCTCACCGTCCTGAGACAATAAGCTAGGTAGGGCCAGCACTGGGCCCCAAAACTCAGCTTGAAGAAGTTACAGAAGGCAGATTTCTGGCCCATTCCCAAAGATTTGTCATTGTCCTTTTGTGAGAGGGGGAAATGTCAGGGTATCATTTAATAACATTAAAAACTCCTTGCCCAGCAGGCAAGTTTGGGAGGCTTGAACAGGTGAGTGAATCAGTAAGATTGCCATAGTACCTGGACCTTAGGAGCCGACCACCATAACCAGAAAAAACAACCCAGCTCCAGGAATGCAGAAGAAGGGCCAGGACACATGCTATGTCGAAGGGCCAGCACCCAAGACCAGACATCCCAGCAAATAACTGGTGCTAACTGGCACCCCAAGTTTGAAAGTGTGTGAAAGTGATCCTCAAATCCTTCTTCTTACAGAGACACACATATCCCATCTCACTCCCTACTCCCTTGTGGGGTATTTCAAGAAATCTACCTTTTATGTTCTCGAAAAAAAAAAAAAATTAAGCAAAGCTATTCCTAGACTTATAGAACTAGGGTAATATAGTGAAATAAGATGATAAGATGTGTATGTTGACAACCCTCTTCCCAACTGTTCATTAAGATTCTGAAAAACTGAAGGGAAGAAGTAAGGGTAGATTTGAAATAAAAGACCTTTTTTAATCTTCTCATTATCTCAAACCATAACTGGATTAAGATAAATGAGGATTACTCATGTCTCCAGTTGCATGGCAGATGCAAAATAAATTCTATTTGGATGGGGGCCTCCCTGGTGGTGCAAGGGCTTAAGCACAGCACTGTGAAGCTATCTGCATCTCTGCAGCACAAGTTCAATCCCCAGCTGACCAGGGAGCAACCCACATGATGCAGCAGACCCCTCCTGTCTCGCCTGCTGCTCCCCTCAGCAGTGTATTTCAGTCAGTCTGCCTGTTCTGTTCCCCACTCTGTCTGGTGAATCCTCTCACCGCCTCACCTCTGGCCTATATCCCAGGTCTTATATGCATAAATAAATAAATCTTCAAAAAAATTCTATTTGGATGAAAGAAACACACACACACACACACACAAACACATACATATATATATAGAGAGAGAGGATACATACAGTGTCTAACATCCATCATAAACACAGGAGATCAAATACAACAGTTTTGTAAAAAAACTGAAAGAAAAAATATAAAATAGAGACAACCCCATACTAAAAATAAAGTTACCTACAGGAGTTTTTAAATAACCATTTTTGGTATGTTCAAATAATTAAAAGATAACATTGAACAGTTGACAGTAAAATGGAAAAATGAAAAGGACAAAATGAAATTCTTGACTTAAAAATATACATCTGAAATTAAAAAGCAGAAGATGTATTTAACTGCAGGATAAATACTTGAATGAAAAATTAGAAGAAAATATTTGAAACTGAAGCAACGAGACAAAAAGAAAATGAGGAAGAAGGAAGGATAAATAAAATCAAAGGGTACAGTAAAATTGGTAGCATGTGATAATGGAGTCTAAGAATGAAAGAAAGAACAGAGCAGATATTAAGGTAAACCTAAAAACCTCAAAAAGCAACAGTCTCAAAATATTTGAAAGCACTATAATTTTGAACAAGAATTTAAGATAGAAATTAGAAAAGAGGATAATAGCTGCTCCAATACATTAGAAAACAAAGAAATACACTTCTAAAACAGTACACTGATTTTAAAAAAGCTACAACAAAGAAAATGCCAAAGTGCATTGAAGTGGCTGAAATAAACCTATTTATATCAACATGGATAAAGTTCAAAAACAATCTTGAGTGAAATAAAAGAACATTGAGACACTTGACACCATTCACATAATCTGTTAATACACAAAGCAATACATAAAAATCATATAGATATGTACATGAGCAAAAGCATAAAAACAAACATGGCCACAATGCATACCAAATTTCAGACAGTATTTGCCTCTGGGAAAGAAAGGCAGAGAAAAGAATGTAGGAGAGATTCACAGAAAATTTCAGAACTATCTGCAATGTGTTTGGTTTTTAAGGAAAAATTAGCTATTCTAATTAAATAAAATAACCATTTTAAAAATCTGATTGAACTATACCTCTAAATCATGTAAATACTGTAGACCAATTTTTTCAATAAAGATGCTTTTTATGACTTATCACTAATCACTGCAATTTATATTTTATTTATTTATGAAACTAATATTCATAAATATTGACTGTATGTTTTCATAAAAACTAATAGAACTGCATGGAGATTTGCGATAGAGTTCGTTTACTCTCTGTAGTTCCCTATTGCTTACAATTTTCATTAAAAGAAATGAAACAGGAATGTGATCATTAGCAGTGTTACATCTGAAATGCAAGGAAAAGAATTTTCTTCACTCACAGCTAGGAAATATTGGGTGCAGAAAGTCACTTACCTGTTTTTAGGAGTTAGGATGGGATTAAACGGAGTATTAACCAAGCCGATGCATTAAGCAGCCAGTTTGGAGACAGAAGGTTCTGAGACTTGTGGCTTCCTGTCTCAGAGCAAGGAAAGTGAAACTCACGGCCAACAGTAAACAATCAGTGGGCAGCCTGCCTACAACCGGAAGTTTCTTTGGCCTAACAGCTAAGTTTCGTTTTCCTAGCCAGAAGGAAAGAGACAGAGAAAACAAAAGAGAATAAAACGGATTCCTGGGCCTCCCTAGTGGTGTAAGGAGTTAAGCACAGCACTATGAGGCTATGCGCAGCCTCTGCAGTTCCATCCGGAAGCAATCCACATGGCACAGCAGACCTCTCCTGTCTCACTGGCTGCTCCCCTCAGCAGTGTATTCCAGTCAGTCTGCCTGTTCTGCTCCCCACTCTGTCTCTGGTGAATCCTCTCACCCTCCTGTACCTCTGGCCTGTACCTCAGCTCTTGTATAAAAATAAATAAATCTTAAAAAATAAATAAATAAAATAAAATAAAATAAAAACAAAAACACTTATTTTTCAGATCGCTGGCCACTGGTGTGAGAGAGCGGAGGGCACAGCACCCTGAAGAGACTATTCTCCCATGGCCGTTGACCTGAGAGAATGGAGAGACTGTACTGTCATCTCATCTTGAGCTGGCTTTTCTATAATGAACTACACATAAACAGTCATAAGCAACAGCCCATCACAATTGGTGTTCTTGTTCTTCATTACATTCAGCTCCCAGAGTGTATCAGCTTCTTGGTATCTTGACCCTGGTACATCTAACAGCGTCAATGTCCAGCATTCATTTGGGCATCATTGGGGCAAGAATCTCAGTCTTAAAGCAAGAGTCATAGTTTAAAGAAAACAGATCCTCAGTCTTCCAGTGAGTAGTATAGCCTGTGCTAGGTGCACATGTGCGGATTCCTACACTAGCAAAGGGCCCTTCCCTTCCTTCCTTGCCCCTGTCACAACCACCTACCTTTTCCTAGTTTCTCCTCAAAAACAATCTTAGGCAGGGCCTACCTGGTGGCACAAGGGGTTAAGACACAGCACTATGAAGCTATCTGCAGCCATTGCAGCACAAGTTCGGTCCCTGGCCAGGGAGGTGACCCACATGGTGCAGCAGACCTCTCCTGTCTCACCCACTGCTCCCCTCAGCAGTGTATTTCAGTCAGTCTGCCTGTTCTGCTCCCCACTCTGTCTCTAGTGAATCCTCTCACCCCCCTGCACCTCTGGCCTGCACCCCAGCACTGGTATGCATATATAAATAAATCTTCAAAAAAAAATCTTAGGCAGAAAACAAACTCTTAGCATCCCTATTTCTTAAAGTATGAAAATTAAATTTAAGTATATTAAGTATTTTGATTAATATTATGGTGGAGCTGGCTGGTATTCAAAACCAAGGCTTTCTACATTGCAACAGACAGATGAAAATTTGATTTTTTTCTGAGTTAATTTGTAAGGCAGCTTCTAGCTTCTTTTCCCATTTAGACATTCTTTCATTGATTCAACACAGGCTTTGGCCCTGGGAAGAGTAATGCTGAGGAAGATGAAACCCTGCCCTCAAGGAACATGGCTGTGTGCTCTGGAGACAGTCAGAGACACAATCATATTAAGTGTGCTAAGTGCTGCAAGGGGAGTAAAAAAAAGATTCCCTGGGAGCCTGGAGAATACTGGCTTCACCCAACATTGACACTAGTAAAATACTTGTGAACAAATTCAGTTTAAACTTTGACTTGAAGGACGAGGAGGAAGTGAGGCAAAAGAGTGTGGTGTCACAGGAACCACAGAGTTTTTTAGTCTGACTCAAAAATGGAGTAATGACATTGGATTAGCAAACAATAAAGCTTTGTTTCTTGCTTTATAAACAAATAGTGTAAACTTAGAGGTTTGCACACAACTCACATCTGTTATCACACAATTTCCATGGATCAGGAGAGAGCTTGGCTCCCCTGGACTCTCTGCACAGAGTCTGTCACTCAAGGTGATGACCAGTGCTGCTCTCATATTTCTTTAGGAAATAATCTGATTCCAAATCATTCAGGTTCTTGTCAGAATTTAGTTCCTTACAAGTGTAAGACTCCCTTTTTTTTTTTTTTTTTTTTTTTTGCTGTCAGCCTGAGGCCACTCTCAGCTCCAAGAGTTTGGTCCCAATTCCTTGCCAAATTCCTTGTCCTGAAACACACTCACGCCTGTTCTCTGATCCCCTCACCGACCCCCTTCTCTAATCTCCCTCTTATACTATGTTATGTCAGCCTGGATACAATCAGGAGAAAGTAACCACACAGTAATTCTATCTAGGTAAGTTTAATATAAAAAAAGTGTTTATAGGAAAGAGAATTATTAATGTTCTATAGGATTGACTAGAAGTAAAATCTAATAGCTATAGTAGATAGCAGATAAGGACTAGTTCTCTTGGCACGAGCTAGAATACCCAGGAAGAGGTCCTGGCAGGGCTAAGACCCGGGCCTGCCCTTGGTTATGGCTGCGGCTCATGAAGTGATGAAGTGCCTATGGTACTGCATTGTTGGCAAATTCACCCTTAAGGTTGCTGGTCAAAGCTTTGAGAGAGAAGGAAGTCTCACTGGAGTTAGGCTGCTTCAAAATCACCCAGGGTGGGTACCGGGGAAAGCTGCAGTCTGCTGAGGGCTGTGGGCCATCATGCACCAGGGCCTTGCACTAGAAGCGCTGTGCGTGCTGCAAGAGTCGGACCCTGGAGAAGCCACTCCGTTTCTGAACTGGTAAGTAAAACCCTTCTCTCCAGCGCCCTCTGCTGACAACATTTAACTTCACCAGCTGACAAAACATTTTTATTAATTTCTTAAATTTATTTTTACATCATTGTTCATTTTTAAACAAAAAATGCATGAGAACACCAAGAGAATCTAGAAAAGATTTAGTGTCATAAATAAAGGAGTGTAGCAAGAGAACCCCCTTGTGGCAGGAGAATATTTATTTCAAATGAGGACTGCAACTGGAACTAGTTGCATATTTCTTATCCTAGACACAGTATATTTGGATCATGAGTTAATTGTTCTATATTCACTAACTTGTTTTCATCGTGTTTGTCTGTTTTGGTTTACCTTTCTTTTCTCCACTTTAAAACAATTCCATATAACCTACAGAAGTGTAAAAATCACAAGGTAAACCTCAATGACATACCACCAGTTGAATATGCCCATCTAACCAGCACCCAGATGAAGAATAAAAATATTACTAGCACCCAGAACATTCTGCTTCTCTCTGCTTCTACTCACTATCTCTGTAATAGCAGCCACTACACTGCTGTAGTGCAGTCCCCCCCCCAGGGGGGGTGTAGTCCCCATAGGATTTCCTTCACCAATGCACTCATGCACCATCACCTCCATCCCCTGTGCTCCTCCCTCCCTCCCTCTGATCCCTCTCCCTCCACCTCCCTCTGACAAAACATTTAAAGGGACCATTTCCATTTTCAGAGACTGGGCAAGAAAAGGTGAATTTGGAGTTAAGGGGCAATAAATTGATAACTGGAACAGAAGGAAAACAACAAGAAAAATGACAAATATGGAAAAATCGCTATTGTGTGAAGCTATTGTAAAATGATGGCAAATAGCACAATATATTATTGATGAAAAAGAGAAACTGGCCAATTGAAGAGTCTAGAGAGAGATTCATACATGAGCAGTCACTTGGTTAATGACAGACACTGCATTGCAGTGGAGAATGGATTGTTCATTCAATGAACAATTGGATAGCCATACCGAAAAAAATAGTAGTTTTGACCTATGTTCAAAAACCAATTCCAAATGGATTATAAATCTGAAAGTGAAAGATAAAACAGACTTTTAGAAGAAAATTAAATGAAAACATTTCCTAACCTTGGAATAGGAAAAGTATAATTAAATATTATGAGCAAAATGCTAACTATGACAGCTGATAAAGTAAAAAATATTAAAATTAAGAATTTCTTTCCAAAAATCACACCACTGGTAATGAAAATACAAGCTATAAATTTGGAGATTTTCAATATGCATATCCAACAGAACACTCATAATCAGAATATTTAAAGAACACCTATAAATCAGGCTAGATGATAGACAATATTTCTATTGGTTAATAAATATATTAGCACTTCAAAATGGAAATGTTACAGAGCAAGAAAAGGGGCACCCTAGAACCCCCAGACCTGCCCACTCTAAATGGATTCTGCCACCCTCCAGATCAAGAGAAAACATACAGCAGTGCATAAGACCTTCAGTGGAAAGGAACTTTAACACAACTAGTGTGCAACAGAGAGAAGAGAAAGAAAAAGAACATAGTTTCCAAATCCAGCACCCAAAGTTACCCATTTACCCATCCCCTCATGGGTAAATGTCCAGCAGAGAGGGTTGGCCCAACGCAGACTGCTGAGGCCCAAAAGCTTGCCACAAGTCTAAGGCATCTTCTGGTGGAGAACAATAGTTAAGGGGCAGAAGGAGCCAGGTGAGGCTGGAAGGAAAAGAACAAAATCAAAATCAAGATAAAGGCTGCCATTGTTAACCTCCCCACAGGTCTCTCACCCACATCTGCTTCCATGCTCCCCCCAAGTCCCTGGTACAAGTCCAAGGCCAGGAAACAAGCGCAGCTTCTTCACATGTCTCTCTGCTCCATGTGCCTCCGCCAGGTCTCCCTCTTGCTTTCTTCCTTCTTTTTTTCTTTCCCTCCATCTTCTCTCCAACTTCTTTTCCTCCCTGCTCTGTTCCACCCTTCCTTGGGTGGAGCAGAGAACCTGGAACCTCCTGTGTCCTTGGGGACCACCATGTTACAGAAATACATTCATGCAAAAGGTATATAACTTTATCAGTTATCAAGAAAATAAAAAGAAAAACCACAACAAGGTATCATTATTCACCTTCTACCGGACTGATTAAAATGAAAAATGCCAAGCAAAAATATTGGCTAGAATATAGCACAATTGAATTTGTGGCTATGGAAATATGAATTGATGCAACTACTTTACAAACTAGTGGGCAATAATTGCTAAGAGCTGAACATACATGTGTCTTATAATCTACCAATTCCACTACCTATGCATTCTCATATGCATATCCATCTTGGGACATCACAACAATGTTCACAGAAGCACTGTTTGTAATAATCCCAGACTGAAAATTACTACTTGTGTCCATTAACAACAAAACAAATAACTATAGTATGATTGTAGCAGCAGGATGGGCACAGAGCAGGTTTTCTATGATCCGATCAGACCTGATGGGTAAAGGAGGAGTCCTGGAGCCCTTGGTGGCTTTCTCAGGCTTTTATTGAG